ACAATAAGTTGTTTACAAGCATCAGCATTCACTGTTTGAAGGCACCTGCAAACCCCTAACATGGTAGGGGCTGAAAGAATCATTCCATATTTTTTGCCTGGCATTTGCATTTCCCTGAAATAGAGATTTCTTATTGCATCTTCTGCACCTGCTGTGAAACTTAACTTCTGTTACCTTAGAACCAATTATAAACTTGATTGCAGCACAATCTACAAAAATAAGAGATAGTTCCTGCTCCAAAAAGAGTTGACACTGAAAAGGGCTTATTTCCTATGAATGCAGGAAAAATCTGTTTTGACCCTTCTGTGGGGCTGCAGCAAATGCAAGGACATACAAAACTTCCAGCAACCCCAGTCTGCTTTCTGTATGTTTTTGGTACTTAAAGAAACTGTGGAAACAGTAATAACTGACTGGTCAGGAGAACCCTAAAAAAAAAGGTTCTCTTTGTAGAAGAATAAATACCATGATCTATGAGAGAGATGTTTTTAGAATTATAAGTGCTGCCTCTAAAGTTGTGCAAAACTGCTTCTCCCAGCATCTGATGTGTCACCGTTACCATTAATATCTGTCAGGATGGTTACAGATTCTGAATTTGAAAAAAAAGAGAAAATAGCAGCACAACAGAAGTGCTTCTGCTTTTGATATTGGAGTTTAACAGCTCCTGTGAACTGTATTTAGTGCTGTCAATGCAGACAAATATTCACTGCATTTTATTAGAGCAGCCTCCAGTTTCCTCCTTCCTTTTGGCAGCAGGGCCCATGGATATTCCTAGCTCGTCCTTAATGCAAATACTTCAAACCTGGATGTGCTTATTTGGGGATAACTTAGGTGAAAGCCTCCTGAAAGCTTTGGGTTTTTTGGGTTCCTTGAGCACCTCAGTTAAAGATGTGCACTGGACAATCTCTTACTCCTGGAGCACTCCCTGACTTGGGCTGTGCTGCCAAGGAAAGCAGCAGAGGAAACTTCTTCACTCTCACTCACTTTTCTTGATGAATAGACAGGTCCAGGCCTGCCAGGCACACAAGTTTTACCAAGCTGAGTTCAGGATCACAGGCACCATTAACCTTTTCTTAGATACTGCTGGGGCAAATGTGCCACAGGAACATTACATGAGCTCTCAGCATGTGGGCAGAGCCTTGGAACACGAGATGGAACATGGTGAAACTGGTAAAATATTCCATTAAGATCAATTAACAGAAGGTTTTATTTTTTTTTAATTTATTTTTTTGGTGGGAAAATCAGAAGTGGGTAGCTGTTGAGTCATAGATGGCATGATCAGAAAAAGAGAAGAACTCCAAGGAGTGAAGATTCTTGTGCAGATAAGCACACCCAGAACAGGACAAAGGTACAGAATGACACTTTTTTGCAGTCCTGTCATGCCACCCACAGCCTCATATTGCTGGAAAGCATCACACAAACTGAGGATAGTACAGTCTGTTCACTAAAAAACCACCAAGCATCACGCTGAAGGCCAGTGGGCTGATGAAATGGAATTCTAAGTGTGGCTTTGGGCTGTCAGGTGCACCGTGGAAAGGATGGATTTTTCCCATAGGCATTTTGCATAGTCATTTACACCCACAAATAGTGAATATATCACACAGCTATTCCAAGTTAACAGTGTTTTTCACTTATTCTGTAAGGGCAGAAATGATGACTCATGCTGTAGGACAAATGAGAGGAACGAGCCCTTTATTAACAGCCAGACTTGGGGAATGTGTTCCCTCTTGAAATTAGTGGCTCTCTCTAATGACTCTGGAGCTCACACTGGTGAGGGCCCCATTCTTCCAACAGCTTTGTGAGACTTAATCTGTCAAGACTTTGGCTGAGATCAGAGAAAAGCTGAAGCATTTTTCTGAGGTGCCAGAAGTGAGAGCTTTTTTGCATTCTGATCTTCTGACAGATTTTCTCTGATCCAGTATCTGCCATTATTTAAACAGCTCAGCTGGCATGTGTGGCATTCTGCAGGCTAGGAAGAAGTCAAGAACCGTGCTCTGAGGACTTAATCATCCAAAAATTGGCATATAATTTAATGAGAAAGGACAAAATAAAGCAAGATAAATAGAAATTGCTCCTGGGAATATTCCACTATATTTTTAATTGCAGAGAATGCAGATCATTCAGGGCTCCTTCTATTTCGGATTTGTTTCTTTTTTGAATGATTAGACATGCAAGAGAGAAAGAGGTCAGGCACAGCAACCCAAAGTTCCCCTAGGAAGGATGAAATAGAAGCCTCAAAGAGAATAAAAATTTTGGAACCAAGCCCTCTTACTCTCCTGCCTTGCCTTTCCTTTACGCTGCCAAAAAAGAACAAACCAGGAGATTTCAAGGGCAAAGCTCTTTTATTGCCTGAAAATTGGGGTATCTTCAAGGTGATGCAAAATGCACTCGCCCTTGGCTCCCACCTTTCCTGGGAGCTGCAGCAGGGGATTGGATTGAGCCTGTGCCCAGGGGCTGACACACCAGGGCTGACACACCCAGGCTCCTCATTGCTGCTCTGGGACCCCTCTCAAACACCCCCAGGAACCTCCTGCTACCAGGGCAGCTGACTCGTGATTCACAGCTGCTCCTTTCCCTCCCTCTCAACATATTTTCCTTCCTTCTCCTGCAACACAACTCAGTGTACATTTAGCAAACACATTCCCACTATCAAATTTTAATAGACTTTAATTTTTCTCTGTCTTTGCATCTCCACAGAAGGTGACACAAATTTTGCTGGCAATTATGTTCTGAGTAACCCAATTAGTCCTGAAATACAGAGCACTGAACATGCTGTGTTTCTAGATCTCATTTATTATTCTTGTAGGTTTTTTTTTTATTTTAAAAGCTTTTTTTTTCTCCCCCCTCTGGCAATTCTCTGATGATCATTAGATATAAAAAGATTATATTGATGTATGTAAAAGCATCTTTATTTTATAAACTACGGCTATAATTTTATTTCAAGGTAAATGACTGGCAAAGATAAGGGCAAAAAGGCACATATGTTAGAAGTGTGAAAAAATAATGCTTAAACTACCAGTGAGCTGCTCCTTACCTACCCTGATTCCAAATGCAAGAACAGAAAATAGAGTTCAATTACAGGCCAATAATTTTACATATTTTGAAGTAAAAAAGACAAAAAAAAAAAAAAAAAAAAGGCACATAGAACAAATTTACTTTTGCAAGATTTTTCCAAGATTCATATGGAATTCAACAACCACAGGGATTTTTAAAGGTGCCAAAAATATATATAGCATGTACCCCACAGAAGGAACGTGCATGAAACTTGATGTCTCCAGGCATTCTTAGGGCTTTGAGTTTTCACTGTAAATTGCTTAAAAAAAGTATGGTGGAAATTGGTATCAGCCTCTTCAGCATTAAATGATAAAGCTGGGAGTAAAAAAGACTTTTCTTCTCCTGGACTGTGTATATTCTCCTGTTGGAGATATAATTTGTCTGTTTTGGTATGAACATTTTTCCTTTCTGTGTGGTTATTTTGCTTTGGTGGAGAAGGCAGTGGGGGCAGTCAATTGGTCACCTTGGCTTTGGAATAAATCTCCTCAGATCTTTCCAAGGTGGAAATCAGGTGTGTGATAAAATGAGCATGGATGTGAGTCAGCAGGGAGCTGTGACCACAGGTGCTGAGGGCACAGGAGTTCACAGCAAAACTCTATTAAAGGAAGGAAGATTTACTTGTGGGGTGGAGAATGTGACTAATGCCACTCAATGCTGGATTTTAATTAGGAAATGTAGTTTTTATTACACACGGTGAAACTCTGTAAGACTTAAAATGGAGCTAGTGAGCAGTGAAGGGAAAAAATGTTTTGGCTTTCTTTGCTACATCTTGAAGGAATTCCCTTCACCTGGAGGGGGATTGGAGCAGCATGAAGTGTGGGTTCCCTTCCAACTGTGTGCAGTGAAAGCAAAGAGCTCCTCAGAAGATATTTTGCACAGTGGTAAAGGCTGCTGACTCTCCTCCCTGATCAGATTTGAAGTCAATGACTCTCAAACACAATTTTCCTGATGGAGCAGAGGAAAGATTTTCCTCTTCCTGTATCTGTTATGTTTTCTCCAACCTGATTTTCAGACTTGCAATTATAATGACTCCTATGGCTGTTTTTTTTTTAAATCACAGAACTTAAAACAATCTAGTTAAGAACACAGACAAACAGTCCCCAAGAGAGGACTGGGAACAGGAGATATATGCCAGATTTTCTCTTATTATGAGCTTTCAAAGCTCATTTCTTGTATAAAGCTTCCACATCAAAGAAAGATGTTGCCACTTTTTCATTTCTTGTTATTGTAAAAAGAGAATGTTTGGAATATTGAAAAACTTAATATTGGATTTGCACCAGGAAATGAAGCCAGGGGATCTGGCCAGGAAATACAGGCTCTGAAAAATGGGCACATGCAGGATGGCAGTGGCTGAGAGGTAAAATACTGGGGATTTTAAGATTTTTGCAGTATGAATATCTCCATGAAATATAATGAATCCCTGACAAGTGGTGTGGTTGTTGTTTTTTTTTTTAAGCAGCTCTAAAAACTTTCCAGGATCCACTTCTAATTCTGTCTATTTTGCAAACAACCACAGGGCAAATTCAGGGCAGCTCTGTTCTGGAGAGATGCATCCTCCAAAAGGGGCTGCTAATATTAACATATCCCCAGTGCCAAGTTTGCAAGTCTGAAGATGCCCTTGTGAAGCAATGAGATGCTAAATAAATCAAACTGTCTATTATCTCTGTAATCTGTCCTGTGTCCAACACTGGGAGAAGCAGGTGCATCCTCTCAAAAAGCATTCATGAAGTGTTCTTTCTCTGCGTTTTTAGACACCATTACTTTGCGGTGAATGGATATATTTGGGAATTTTATAAATAAATTACACGATAGAACAATCATAAATAAATGCTAGAAGCTACCACACAGGCTTCAAAAAACTATTCAAAAATGGAATTATTATTTCTTTACTTCCAAGCAATAACAGCATGGTCTCTAAATGCATTTGCCCACTTGTTTTTTTCTCTTACCAGCTGTTGCCCTTTTGGACCCCAACCAGCATACTGAAGCTTTGCATTGCTGACCTCAGGGGGATACAAATTCTGGGGATCCCTGCAAAAAGAGAAAAATAAGATTTCAGCTTCAGAAATTTCCTTGTTTAAGCTGCTGCACGCCTGCTTTGGAAACACACCATGAACTTGTAAGATGCCTTTCAGCCAGGTTTCAGGAAACTTTTTTAACAGTAAGGTAAACACTAGAAAGTGTTGGTAAGATCAAGCATTTAAGTGACAATTTCTGATTCTTATTAATAAGAAGCTAAACATATTTGTTCCACTGCTGACTTGCCTAAGCCTTAAGAATTGGTTCAGGGATAGCAAACAATGTAATTGTATTTATCAATACTGATGATGTCCACGAAGGATAAGCAATAATTATATCTTTTAGCCCTTTTGCCAGAAGAAAAAATAAAATTTTGTCTTCTTCATCCAATGACTTTTTTTTGCCTCATAAATTTCCTTTGAATATGATGGCAGAAAAGATTAGCAAGTGTATGACAACTGATACAAAGCCCGGCTTCAAAGGGAAAAGCTCCTATTAACACAAAATATCTATGTTTTTAGAAAATAAAATCAAAATGCTTTTCTTGTTCTTTCATCCATTACCTTCATTTTGAGGCAGAACACAAGTGACACACAGAAAATGCAATATAGAAAAAGGAGGCTTTTTTGGTAAATGTCAAAGCAGCATAATGTCATTTTCTCCCAGTGTAGATAGCATTGCCTTAACTGTATTTATACTCAGCACAAATAATTGCATTACATATTCTGAAGTCACATTGCAACAACCCTGTGTATCATAATATCCTATAAACAAGAACTCTAACAAAGCCTGTATAAAATATGCCTCATTAGAAGATCTCAAACTGCTTGAAAAAGTAAGGGTATTATCATTACTGGTCTAGAGGCAGGAATAACAAGGCAATTTGAGGCCAGCATCACTGAAAACCAGAGAAAAGAGCCAAACCCTGCCTGGCCTTTAAGCAAAAGGCCTTCTTGCACAGTGTTTTCCAGACCATGTTGTCAAAACAGAACAAAACTGGATGCAATAATTGGGCACTAAGTGAATTCTCTTTATTGCCTGTTTGGGGCCTGGTGCAGTAGCTCAGTGATGCTCCAGCTCTGCTCCATCAGTCCCTGCACTGCTGCTGCTGCTGTAGGACAAACTCAGCAGCAAGAGGAATTCTCAGAATTGCTTTTGTGCCACCTTTCCACTGCGAAGAAACTCTCATTTCCCCTGAACTGCTCAAAGGCCAGCCAGAATCAGGGCAGACCCAAGGTGGGGACCCTGATGGCCACAGGTTCCCCCTTCCATCACTCCTGCAGGTGGGACCCTCCCAGTAAAGCTGACAGGTTTGATGGAGATGTGATGAACTGAGAATGTGGAGGGGCAGAGGGGGTTGTTGAGACACTGACACTTCAAATCTGAGTGTATCATAAGCTGCCCAGATAGCTTTTGTTTCTAAGTGCCAAATGTTATCCACAGCTGCTGCCTGCAGAGCAAAATTGTATCTTTTATTATGTTTTTTTTTCACCTAGAAGGTGTCTTTGTGGGCAGCCTAAAGTTGTTTCTGTAAGGTATGGATAAGAGAACACATAATGTTCACACTGAGAGCAGCCATAAAATTCCCTTTCCTGTAGAAAGATGAGCCACACAACTTCTTCTGGCATGTGTGTGTTAGCTACTTAAGTTTCCAGTCAGCTATGCCTGTTAGGAATCAATCTCTCTGGTTAGCTATCTTGATTATCTTAACAGAGAGTAACCTCTGAGGGTAGGAGGAAAAGAGAAAATACAGTGAATCAAATCAAAACCCCTTTTGGGAGAAAAAAAATAGCACTTCACTATTTGTCAAATGAACTATCTAGTTCTTGGGTTATTTTAGCCATGGTGAGAAGAAGAGCAAGAAATTACAAATATTAAATAAACAGATTATACAAATTGTAAGAATTTAAAGCTGTAATGCTTCTGATAACACAGGTGGAGCTATGGGACAGACATGCCAATTGCAGCAAATAATTCAGACCAGAGCTCAGACAACTCCTGTCAGTTCTGCTCCCTGCATCATCTTTTAGAAGAGGAAAACTCTAATGCAATGAGAAATGCTGCATAAACCAGCTTTGGTAGCTGATAAGGCAGAAGGAAAAGCAAAGAGCTGTGCTACAGACAAAAAAAAAAAACAAAGTCATCTTCTCATTCCTGGGTATGGCCAAGGGAAAACAGAATTGCATCTCCTGAGTTCTTTCTTAAGTTGTTTCACATGGTTGGGAAGCTTATTTTGTAGCAAAATCTTGTGTACATCCATTATCATGCTTTGAGCTACTCCCTTCTACCACAGGCTATGAAAGCAGTCAGAGATCTTGGTTTTCCCCCACAAATGCCCCTGAGAGATGGCCATATTCATCTTGGTATATTCTGACTTGTTTCCCATCTTTTGAGGAGGCTCTTCTTCCCTGAAGTAGCTGACTCAACCACCTTCAGCAAACTTCAGCACCATGTGCAGGGGGCTTGGGAAGACTTCTCCTTGCCAAGCCTGATCTCTCAGGCTCCAGAGGAACTGCAGGAGTTACCTGGAGCTGGGCTGCACCAGCGGCTCTCAGGGGAGCCTGTGCTGTCAGCAAACCCAGAGGGGGCTGAAAAGCCAAAATGCCATGAAAATGGACTTCTCTCACTTGTGACCCTCACTGTGAAACACCAAATTCCCACACATGTATTTGGGATACATTTGGTGCACGGCCCACGGTGGAATATGCACGGACTCCTGCTCTGGAGGCCCCAGGCCACCCATTTCCAAACCCATTATCCAAAACTCACTTGTCTTGAGTCTAATCCAAGACCCATTAGACAAGGCTCACAGATAGCTTTGGCTTGGAAAGGACCTTAAAGTTCATCTCATTCCAAGCCCCCTGCCATGGGCAGGGAAGATTCCCACTGCAGCAGGTTCCTTCAAGCCCCATCCAGCCTGGCCTTGAACACTTCCAGGGACAGAGTATTCCCTGGGCAGACTGTGTCCTAACTAACTGTGAGTTAACTTCTCTGGGCTATTATATCAGCTAGAGAGAGGAGGAGGGAGAGTTGTCTACGCTGCTGCTCTGGGCAGGATGGCCACAACTCTTTGATGCCCTCTTTGAGAAAGCTTTTAGTGATCCTCAAACTGAAAAACCTTTTTGGAGAGCATTTATCAAACACATTTCCAATTTTCTCATGCTATTCTGGGCATTTAACTCTCCTTTGTTAAATTCCTGCAGGGGAGCCAGGCCAAATGCACACCTGTGTCCCAGGAGCACTCTTCCATTTTACAGTTGCATAAATGGGATCTCATGCCTGTCAACTTCTTCTGGGAAATAAGTTATTCCTATTAAGCTATAGTCCTCCATAGCTACATCCTTCCTTCTCCTTGAAAACAGCCTGCTTAAAATTCCTCTGTCCTTTTTTTCCCGAATCAATCAATATTATGGGTCATCTCAGCCTCTCCAAAGAGCCAGTGCTCCTCACAGACCCTCATCATTAGGGCTTGTTTGGATTTGAGCCTGTCCCTTGTGAGCTCATTTGTGCAGGATGCTGGCTTGGAAATGGGCAATTCCAAAGGCAGTCTGTACATCCCTGGCTCCTGCTTTGGATGAAGAAACAGGTTCACTGCATCCTCACAGTATTTCCACTATTTTCTCACAAAAAAAACCCTTAATTTACAGCCAAGAAAATGGCAAGGACCTATAAAACTGTTGCCATTATTCCTTCCGTCTTTTAAGATGATTGATCTTATAGCCGAGAAAGAAGGAATAATCCATTTTACACCAGACAGAAGATGGAGCAGGTGCTACATAAACTCTTCCACATTAAAATGACATTGTCTGGACCAGAGGCTGTTAAATTGCTCCAGACACAGGCGTGACATCAGCACCATGTTCAAAAAACATTACTGAACTAATAAATTGAGAAATTTGCTCATTTAAGTGATGTTTTTTTTCCAAAAAGTCTCCCCTCAAAATTTTCAGACAAAGAAAGTTCTTGAGTTCTTGAGAATGATGACTACCAAGTCATCTTTGCTTGCAATTGAGCTCTGAACAAGATGTAGAATAAAACAAATTTATCAATCAGGTGTTACCTTCATCTGACTTTTAAAACTACTGTGATTAATGAGGAACTTGTTTGAAAGAGTTTGTCCTGGTTTTTCTTGATTTTTTTTTCTCTGTGTGCTCCCTCTTCAGACATTTTCTCCTAAAGAAGGCAAATTTCCCTCAGAGACTTTGTGGCACTGGTTCTCCTTCTGAGCATAAACATGATTAACTCTCCTATATAAAGTTCTTCAAAAGCAACTCAAAAATACCCAGAAATTTTCCACTGTAATTGAGGGAGTGGCTCCCTTTACTTCAATAAGAATATTTTACAATGCCAGACTGAAAATGTCTAAAACTGATAAAAGCAGTCAAATTCTAGGGTATGGTATAAGATGTTGTTCTAAGGTCTGTTTTCATAACTTAATTTTAATTTCAAATACAGAACAACAGGATTGGTATGGAAATTCTTTGAATATGATGCCACAGTGAACAAAAATGCATCAATTTTCACCACAGGCTGCTCTGATATGTCCATCCTCCAAAGAAAAAATATAAACTATGTTTACATGCTTTACTGGGGAAAAAATCTGAACCCCCTTACTTCACTATATCACAGCTGTGGAAAACATTTACTGTGTAATTAGTATGTTAAATGTCAGTAGTTTATAAAAGTTGAAGGAAAAAAAGACAGCTACAAAAACATGTGGGGAAGGCAGAAATATCTTCTCCTGTTATCTGCATCAAGCCAGCACTGAATATTTTGAAAGACAACAGTCCTAAGGACATCAGCTCACAGTTCTTTAGGCATTTTTCATGGCTAAGGATAAAAAACTATCTATCTATCTAAACTATCTGTCTCAGCACCAGAACTCAATGTCTTCACATCCACCTCTAATAACATAAAATCGGACAGCAGCTAAGACAGATTTCTTATTCTTTAGATAGAGGAAAAGAAAATAAGAGAATAAAATAAAGAGTAAATTCAGAAGGGCAACAAAG